CGTCATTGCAATAACGTTATCGCCTTTATCGGCTCTATCAGTTGCCATCTGATAATGACGTGCAATTCAATATATTGCATTCCGCATAATAATATATTCTACCCTATACAATACACCAAAACATTTTGACATGTACACAAAAATGTTACCACAAAAGACTGCATTATGAAAATATGTAAAAAAAAGAAATAGTTAAACGTTTTTCATTGACAAATCTTTAAATAGCTTTCGTCATCGATCATTAATCTTCTTTAGACCTGTTCATGGAAAAGCCGTTTCAGTCTACGCCTGTTCTTATGATCAAAAAGAACACGTGTGAAATTATCTCCGCCTAAATTTCATCTTCTGAAAGCATATTTGATTGAGGAATTCCTTTCATTTATTTAATTGGGCGAATTCTTCGGTGGGATACTGAATACTCAGGTGGGATACCGAATAATTTGAAGGGATACTGAACACTTACGTGGGATACTGAATACTTTTATGGAATATTGAATACTTAAGTGTGATACAGAATACTATTGAGGGATACTGAATACTTTGTTGGGATACTGAATACTGGATATGGTTATATCTCTTCCTGATACTGAACACTTTGAACACTTTGATACTTGATTGGTACTAAACATTTTTAAGGATACTGAACACCTCGATTCCTATCTTCTGAACAATTTCGCTCAATACTGAGTTCTTTAGTGGGACACCGAATACTTTTTTCAAATAATTTTGAATGATATTGGGCACTTTGAAAATATATTGGGCACCGAACACGTTAATAGGGCACTGAAAACTTTGGCAGGATACTGAACAGTTCATAGTTACATGTATATTGAACACTAAGAAAGGGTACTGCATAGCGCATGACACACTTTGGATAATGAACATATTGACACACTGTGCTTGTTCGGGGAAAAATATTATTCTGTGTTCTATTATCCATTTACGAGGCGCAAATTTGACTAATCCATTCATAAAATGAAAGAATAAAGACCACGCCAAAAACACGAATAGCTATGTCTTTTTTAGTCAAAAGTACAGGGAATAGTTGAAAGACAACTAATGAAGAGGACCACACAAAATACATACAAGTTTTCGTCTGTCAAACAAATACAGTAGTCAGGTGGCTTTTAAGTTACATTTAATTGACTCAATATGAATAAATAAGACGTTTTCAAGATATTTTCATTCAAATCGACATAGCTAATAAGAGGACCACACATTTATATCTATGGTCTATCATATATGTACAGGGAGTGTAAAAAGGTTCTGGTGAAAACGGAAATCATTGTTGTCCCAGGTATGCAAAACGACCTTTCCAAACCCAGACTATTCTAGATTGCAAATATGTTTTAACTTCGTCAGCACTTCAGAGAATAAAGTTAAGTGATAATAATATGCGCTCTTAACTTCTATGAAACAAATAATAATTTTTATGCAGTTTGTAAGCTTTAACTATTGAGGAGGGGGTAGTTTAGTTTGGAAGAGCGTTTGAGATCTTGTGTCAGTTTTCTCATTACGTAAGAGATGGTGGTCATGAGCTTTTTAACACCGCCAGCAAAGGTATGGTGATCTAGTCATGTTTTCAGTCGACCCAGTGGAATATTGGTACAATTATTCAATCAAAAACGATCATTGTCGGGATGTTTAACGACTTCCATCCCCCAGAAAAGATTCTCATGCAAACTCACATATTTGGGGTAACCGGTAATAAAATCTGATCTAGACTGATTATATCCTTGAACCACACACACATTTTGTAATATAATCACTGATAATATTATAAAGGATACAATTTCAAACATTTCGCAATTGTGCAAAGGTTAATACGCTTAAGAAATGAGGATTAATTTCAAGTATCCGCATAAACTTGAAATTCGAATATTGAATCTTGGTCGAGTGCATATCCTCGGATGGGGCGCATTGCATGGCTCATATCGAAATACTTGCGTGGTCTCTTAATACAGTTTTTACTGTACTTGCATCAAATGGATTTTCGGGTCGACCATCAGATCCCAGTTGTGTCAACTGACGTCAACTGCCATTGGTCATATTCTTCCACGTGCTCTCTGACTTAAAGTCGAGATCGTTACCCCTCCCCCACCGTTTTTTTAGTACCAATAAATCGATAACTTTGAAGACATTTAGCAATGATTTATTAGCAACCAATGTCAGATAATATAAATGACCTACTTTAAAGCTACTAATTCTGCTGTTATCAATGAAAATATTATGTTGACCTAGATAGGCGTGGTGAAATTGGGTCATATCATCCAAACACGTGTTTCAATTAAAATTCTTTGCTTTCAATGTGTTGATGTTCTTTTTATTAAGTTTGGTTATATCATCTCGTAATACACGTTTGCATGAATTGACAAAAAATTGTGCTTAGGATCTTTTCAGCATCTTTAGATTGCGTCTCGAAATGAAAAGGCGGTTTACATCCGACTTTTCTGCTTGAGATTGGGATAGAAAATCCTACCCCCGCACTGTATTGTGGAACCATGGGGAAATGTAAGGATGGATTCGTAAATGACTCAGCTTTGTACAGAGAGTTATGCCAAATTTGGCTTTTGTCATGGTGAACATTCTCAAAAACTAGCCATCCAAACGGGATCGGATCCAAGTCCCATAAAATGTGAACTCTTGAGTCCTCCTGGTCGTGAGAATATCATATCTGTATATCACGTCAGAGGAACAGGATCGGGCTGGCTGTATATCGCGTCGGAAATACAAGTATGGTCAAAACCAAGCTTTGTAATACTACAAAATTGAAAAGAATAATTACAAGAATGGATTCTTTAAATGTTATTATATGAATTACAAACCGTAAAAGCTACACAAACCGGCTTGTGTGACAAGAAGCGATTTATCTACTTGTATTTCCTTTCAAAATGACTTCATGGTATAGAAACATTCAAATTGGTTAGCAAATTACAGATAAATAGTAGAGAGGCCCCACAGAGAACAAAACACAACGATAATTGGTCAAATTGGATCGTATACAAGTTAAAAAGGATCCCGTCGAGAGCAAAGGTGTCTATAAAGACTGCTGATCTCGTAACTTCATATCACAGCATGCCTTGCGACACATTAAAAGCATTCCGGGGCATTGGTAAGATCAGTTATAGTGTTCACTGCTCACCGTCGAAACCCTTGTGTGTCCAGAATTATCAGCGTTTCAAAGTTAAAAAGACGACTCGTCTTTTCTTGGGACACAGTCGTATATAGAAAAGACATCTATAGAAGCAGGAAAAGAAATTCCTAGTTTGAGATTTATTAGAGATTTTCGTACATTTCTAGTACTTCTGAAGACTATTTACATATATTCAAAATTCAAATCAACCCCCAAAATGGCGCATCTGTCCCTTTAAAGGATCTTGGGTTTGAAAGATATCGGTTTTCTGTATTTACACTCGATGTTTTATCAAAAGGTATCATAAATTGCAAAATGAGCGGACAAAACTATTGATATCCACCAATCCGTCATTTTGTGATAAATCCCAAACGGATTTGTACCACAAGCACCTATGCCATTACTTGCACATTTCTGTCAATAAATGAACATAATTAGGCCAATAAGCAAAGCAACTGAACAATATACTTGTACGAAGTCCGGAAACAAGGAAAAGAGAGTCAATAATGCAACTTGACAATCTTATTAGATCTTTAAGGAGCTATTTCCTCATGCACGAAAAATAACAAGGACAGAGTGGATTGGAGTATCCTATCGTTCTACAACAAGCGTAATGAAAATGGGCAACGATTTTGTGAACTTGCATGAAATAGCTATCGTGTTATAATAATGAAATTATTTTCGGTCTCGTTACAAATTTCTAAATACGATCAAAGGGACACATCCCCGTTTAAAGTTAAATAGACGAGTCGTCTTTTCTTGAGACGCTGCCATAAAAGACATCTATAGATATTGGGAAAAAATGCCTAGTTTGAGATATTTTTGAAGGAATTCTGCGATTTCCGTACATTTCTAGTACTTCTGAAGACTGTTGTTCAAATATTCAAGACTCAAATAAACTCCCTCCCCTAAATGGCGCATCTGTAAAATACGTAATTGAGAAATTTGGACATTGGCAATTTCTACATCAATTAATCTTTTGTTTTATGCCGCCTCTGTGGTTAACACGGTATTGCAAAGAATGTAATACTATTTCGACTCAACTTTTCCTCTGTCGTCATATCACGATTACAATAAATTGGTTAAACATAAGTAAGTCAGCCTATCAAATAACGAATCGGATTAATCTTATATCTCTGAACATTGCCTAATGCAAGACAAGTTACTAGGAAATGATGAAATACGTTGTATTGTGTTATTTGCAAGTTTTTATACAGAAATTTTCCAAGAAATACACGTTTACGCTCTTTCTAACTACTTATGATTCGTGATACAACATAGGTTGTCCACGCCAGTCGAGCCGTTACCGTCTACTTTACGCCCTATCGTCCTATTCTAACACTAAAAACTCTTTCCATGTCAGTCCCCACGACCTATCCGGCTACTTGGCGCTTTTATCGTGCCCATTACTATCCGAATACTGAATTCTATCGATGTCAGCCAGTCCGGCTTATCCGAATACCAAATGTTTTGCCCATGACAGTCACTGAAGTTTCCATGTACGTCGCTTTGATATATCGGACTTTTCTTTTAGTTCCGTTCAACCAATGAACAGGTATTTCCATGTCAGTCCAACTAAACTAATAAACAATCTTTCAATGTCACGCACATACAGAAGGGTCTTTTTTCTGAAAGTTTCATTAGTCTACAGAAGTCATTTTTCCACGTCAGTACCATGTGAGTCTCCCCAAACTTCTAATAGTCTCGAATATTCGGTTACGTTTTTTCAGCCCCCCACCCCCTATCAACACCATTACATTGACAAAGATAAATTTGAATGAGAAAGTCATTCATTTAAGACTGGATAAAAGACAAGCATGTAAATTCTATAAAATAATAATTAAAAATATAAAGAAAGAATTCTTACCTAAAACTTCAATATATTTCACGTCTTTTTTCTCAATTTGGAAGGATTCACAAAGTCCAAACCAGCCATTGGGATAAACTGGTGGAATATCTCCAATTTTTCTACGTTTCCTCACATTATTGGCAGTTTCTCGTTTAGAAAAGCCAGGATCCGTCAGATATCCGACGTCTGAAAGTTTTCGGACACGGTTTAACGGTACAAAAAGTAAACAATATAATTTCCATAATACCATAACGGCAACGGAAACGTACACGTAAGTAGTCCACGATTGCAATTCTGGAGTGTTCACAACAAATTCCTTTGTGCTGTTTATAAAACTGTAAAATCTTTCGAACTCAAGAGCACTTGTTTCCAAAACAGACGGCATTAATACTTTAGCCATTTTTATAATAACGTTCTCACGGTCCAAGACCACACAAATTTTGATTCACTGGTTTAAATAAAATGTATATTAAACGACCAAGGACATAACTTGAAATTCCGCTGTCTATTTTGTTTGACGAAATAAAAACAAAAACTATATATTTCCTTTTTAAAGCCTAATGTATACCACTCCTCGTGGAAAAATTAGTTACGTTAGTAATAGTGGTTATAGTACTACACGTAAAAATCACCTTAAACCTCTCTAATCTATGTGAATGAATCAGTCTCGACGTTCATTCGCTAAACCGTTTTCCTTCAAAACACTGAGTAAATACGAGCGTAACTAACTGACTCGGTAGCAAGTCGTTTCCAATAATATACCTCGAGAAATAATTTAACTCTATTATATACACGTGAAAAGTACACTTAATCGGTTGGACGCTGTTGTTTAGGGATACAAGTTTGGTCACGTGATTAGTTAATTGACTCGGAAAGCCTTGAATGAAGATATCTATACAAATTACATATCGAAGTTGTGTATACATGCCCGCCTTACAATGTGTGTTTGTGACGTCAACAGTTTCTGTGTGGTAAACGTGTATACCTGTGGGGGAGAATTTTACGTTCAAGGCGGTATAGCAGTTTCGTGTCGATATGGCACTAATTAGTCCTCTGTAATTAGCCCACAGTCCATTGTTTTTATTTTTGTGACGTTTGCATAGTAACACATGTGGAAACAGTTTTGGCTACGAAAATGGTTCGGCTTTTGGTAAAACGAAAATGGTTCAGCCTACAGTTCGAAACAATCAAATATTAATGTCCATCTGCCTTAAAGTCCTCATATGAACATAGAAAAGGATTTAACAATTTAGGAAAGAAAAAGCATAGACCACAAGAAATCACTCCGTGACGTTTCGAGGATCTCTTGAGGGGGTAGGGGGCATGTGACTGACAGTATCTGAGATCAGCTGATCAGCACAGAGACGACTGAAAAAATCTCATTTGTCGCCAGTTGTCATCGGTGCTTTCTTTCTACCTTTGAGCAAAGATTGGATCTTTCCACCCGATAGCCAGTGGCTCAACGAGATGATTTGGGGTCCATGGATTTAAGAGGGTTGGACCCCTTCCCCGGTAATTATTTTGGCACATGCTATTCTGCATCTCGAGACCCACCTGTAAATCAATTTAATGCATTTTTATGGATGATGTACAGATTTACATATTTTGTTCTGCGGATGGGGGCCCATAGGGTCGAGGGGCCCGTGGACTTGGTTCAACCAGTCCCTATGTGGTAGTTGAGCCACTGCCGATCGCGATCGACCTGAGCGCACCGACGACAGTTGCAATCAGTTGCTCATGTTTTAAATTCCCAGTAAAAATTGTATCTGGTTGTCGACAATGTCGATCTGAACGGTTGAAATCTTCGCCCATCCAAATCGCACTTCGCTTATTTCGACTTCGGCAGATCCGATGAGATGTTTAGAATCGCCCTTCAATTTGAGCCAGCCTGTAGTAAATTTATAAGTAACTGTACCGTCTTGAAGATAATTTCACCACAATGATAAAAGAAAACAGTAATAAAATTTACATCGATAATATAAATGATGGATGACAGTAGGAAATTCGCCTTCAATTAAATTATATTATTTATAACCCCTTTTATTATTATCTCTTACAAATTATATCAAATAGTATAATACACTAAGAAAGCAATTTTCGCTCTTGTAACCAATGGAGTATATCTAACATACAATTAATAACTACATGCATTTAAATTATTGAAGGGCAAATTCAACAGCTTATATTCGTATCATTTCGATTCCTCGTCTATAGTTCCTATGATTTTCAGAAGTAATATAATCAAATCATGACGTCACTGGCGCAAATACCATTTATCTTGGTACAGTTGTGCCTATATTTTTACCAATCGTATCTTAGTCTCAGAAGCTTTTATTAGCTAAGCCATCCAGATATAGTGTTCACATCTCATCGTCGAAATTTGAGTCTTCAAATCCATGTGTGTCCAGAATTATCTGCGTGTGAAAGTTAAAAAGACGAGTCGTCTTTTCTCAAGACACTGCCATATATAGAAAGAACATGTATGAGATATTTTGAAGGAATTATGCGATTTTCGAGCAGTTCTAGTACTTCTAAAGACTATTGACATATATTCAAGACGCAAATCAACCCTTAAAATTGGGCACCTTTCCCTTTAATGTAAGGTGCGTTACCAATTTATTATTGAACAAATTTATGTTAATATTATTCACTGACATACCCAGTATGCATAGTGGCGTTCCTTAAAATAATCAGATCATGTAACAACAAAATCATTTCCTATGATTATTACATAATATATCCTGTTTCATCATTATATATTGATATTTTGATATCCAGTGAAAATGTACCAAATAAACACACATTCCCTCACTAGCATTTAAAAGGAAAGTGTCATTGAGAACTAAGACGCAAAGTGGCATGAGGTGTTTCAGAAAGGTTTACTACGCCAACTTTTAGTGGTACTATTATTGTGACGGTAGGCCCCCCCCCCACCTCTACCTTAAAAAGTGGCTAGCCCAGATTCGCCCCCCCCCCCCCATCACACTTTCAAAACGTAGAAACACCAGTGAATATTAAAGGTGGAGGTGTTAAAGTGGGTAAGATTCTGACAAAAGATATCCATCCTTCAATATTCTTATCATTGAATATTAACTTCCTCTTTCTCGTTCCTGATTTCAGTCATCCCTTGATCATCCTTTGTCATCTCATTTTGATTGTTTTAGTGTGGACATTTTATGTCTATTTTATTGCTCAGAGAAGTCGTTATTTTGTTTACTTCCGTTTTTTTTAGAAATAAGAATTTCACTTGGCTGAAAAATATGGGTAACATGGGTGTCATTGGCTTACTCTTCTACTGATCTTTGCAGAGTCCGTAACACACTAGTCCTCGGTTTATTGTCCCATTTGAACTAAGTCACTGTTTCAAGGCAGTTCATTTACCCTACATCACTAATACGGGGCCCCGGATTGAAAATTTTACAGCAGAAATGGATCTCTAGATCTTCAGTTAAGCGTTTCGTTGCGGTTCTCATAGCATCAATAGTATTATTCCTCATGACGAAATAGGAATGTTGAAAAATAATAGTGTTCTAGAAGCATCCTATCGATAATAATCATCAAATTCATATATTATCTGTCCCGAAGCCAGTCCATTTTTTTCGGGTGTGAGGGGGATTCCCACCTGTAGTTACAGGTCAGTATATTATTATTACTTAATTATTGAGGTTCTATCCAATTTGAAAATGCCCTTGATCGTGAAGATTGGATTACTGGATTAAGCAATTGAAGTCTATTTCAGGTTTTAATGAGCTTTCATTCATTCATAAAGATTGGAGGCACAATATACACCCTAATTAATAGAAATAAATTGTTTGATAACCCCCAGTAACACTCAAAACAAATGGAAACAATTGCTGTTAAAATCTATGTTTGTATTATTTTTCAAACAAAGCAAACTAGGAGACCGCTACGTCAAAATCTACGAATATCGTTTTGTTCTTTCACAAAGAGATATTAAGAAAGATTATATTGTAATATATTAACCTCTGAATATTGTTTCTTGAAACTTTATCAAATTTGATATATCTTTCGCAAATAGATAATCGTCCTCTTAAATTGCTCTCTTAAAGGGACAAGTTCAACATTTTCGGGTAGTTGATTTGGGTCTTGAAGATATGCAAATAGTCTTCAGAAGTACTATAGAAATAAACAACAGAAATACATGTATGATAGAGACTCAAGAAAAGACGAGTCGTTATTTTAACATTCTAACGCGCACATTCTAAAACACATGGATTTGAAAGCTAATATTTAGACGGTGGACTATAATGAACACTTTTATTGATTAGCTATAAATTTCCGTACAATTATTGGTCAAACTGATGGCGAAACGTCCCTTAAAATGATATGCTTTATTCGGCTACTTGCTTCATTTGCAGTTTTCTTTTGATCTTTCACTAATTGATTTTCTGCCTAAAAAATTGGTGTGATAGAAAATAGTCGATACAGTCTTTAAAAAGGTGAGTCGTCAATATTATTTTCAAACATGGCTAATCATTTTTAGACAATACAATACAATTTTTATTCAAGACTAGAATTTTGACTGTTATGAACATTATTCTGATTAACTTAGCTGAACAATTCCCTAACAGACCACGAAAATACAGATCCATGGCCTTTTACATTCAAATTTTCGCTTTCTTTATTAATAGCATTAATAAAAAAAATAGCAAGCATAATTATGCGACGCTTCCAGTCAAATTGTCCATACCATTTTCATTTGCCTAACCAGAAAAAGAACGTGAAACTCTGTTTCATTGGCCTGTATATTGTTTCTGTTTACATTGGAGGGTCTTGAATCTCATTAATCTAATAAATAAAGATGTTAACCGGCTATTAATTGCTTAATTCACTTATTCTATTACGTAATTAGTTGTATTTTCACGCCTTTACATGTCTGGGCGACTAATGCCCCGGGGCCTCGTCTCTCCCTACTTCATCTTAGTTATTATGTTAACAACCTAGTGTCAAGCCTATAGATAGTTGACCTATTTCATTTCATTCATTCTTACTTTGTTAAATTCTTTCTCCAGTCATAAATGAATGGATGTTTATATCCGACATAAGAACCGGTAGTTCAAGACTAGCATTGTGCGTGGTAACGATAGGGGCATCCCACCAAAACCAGGTTAAATATGCTCAATATAGACTACTTTTTTTAAATTTTCATTCTGTAGCATCGGATTGTGTGCTATCCAAAGCATTAGAAGATTTTTCCGCATCAACTTTTCTGACCTGTATCACTTACTAAAAGAAATATTAGAAATTGAAAGTCGAGGGTTAATTTTGAGGAAACTTTTCACAAATAAAGGGCAATAACTCGCACACGATTTTCGATTATTTTAATCTCCCCTCTCCCATCCCCTATGAAAGAAGGGATGTCGGAGCTAGTCTCCATGATCAGTAAAAAATATTCGATATATATTACTGTTAGATATGAAATCACGTCCGTTTCAAATTTTCCGCGTATTGCTTGTGACATGACATGACATGAACCACATTAGACACAAAATATAAATATGCTGTACGTGCATTGTATCAGGGGTTTCCATTTCATTGACGTTAAAGTCAAGCCCTTCACAATAATCGTATAAGTGATAGGGATTGTTTCCGGCTTCCCAAGAAAAATATAAAAATGATAGGGGTATTGCGTCTTGTTTTTGTGCTCCAGTTTGAGTAACCGGGAAATGTTATATAATGAGTCAAAAGGGAAATAAATGACATTCGTCTAATCTTATCGAACTTAAAAGGGTTGTATATTTCTTTTAAAATTACAATGTATAATCAAACCTATAGTTCTCTTACAATTCAAAAGACGTACAGCCATTGGCGGAGTGTTCCAGAATATCTAACCTGATTATGGCTGCGAGGGGGGGGGGGGGGGGGGGGTCCCAATTTTCCCCCCCCCCCCTCTGTCATGGTCATGCCCTACATTGTCCCACTAATCTCATCGAGTCTATTAAGTGCCACCGACCTTGGATAATTTTGCCGAGCCTGTCAGTCGATGCCGTACGCTGTGAAATAGTGTGATTATTTCGAAACGGAAGTGAGAAATCCGACTGCGAGACTAATTACTCCACAGGTTAAAGATAACGTCCACCGACGCAACATGTCTAAATAGATAAGGTTATAATTAGATTACTGTTTGACGATATAGGAGTTTCTTTCACAATGTCTGTTAATCGAGTAATTAGTTTACTAATCAACCAATCATTAAAACTGTGTTCCCACGAGTAGCAACCAGTGGCTCAACTACCATAAGGACTGGTTGAACTAAGTGCACGGGCCCCATCCCTGAGGGGATCCCAACTTCAAGAACAAAATACAGAAGAGCATATGTTAAAAACAATATTCCCAAGAGAGGGGCCCCATCCAACTTCTGCCAATATGCCCCTACCCATCTTGTTAAGCCATTGGTAGGAACTGGCTCCTTGGTACCAATTTCAAGCAAACAGGTAATGCCTAGTTCATTTCATGGACTTTATATCTTATATATTGGTGTTAATTTCTGGACCCAAAATTGGGACGAATATACACATGTAATATTTCAATGAATATAATTATACCAATATCAATAGATGCCTATTACAAGTATCTCGTCGGAACCGACCCAGTGGAGTCTCCATAAGCAAATATATAGACGTATTGCGATACAAGGGTCACGATACGACACGATACATATTGCGTTGCAGGGGTCACGATACGATACGTATTGCGATACAAGGGTCACGTTACGATACGATACATATTGCGATGCAGGGGTCACAATACGATACGTATTGCGATACAAGGGTCACGTTACGATACGAAACATATTGCGATGCAGGGGTCACGATACGATACGTATTGCAATACAAGGTTCACGATACGATACTTATTGCGATGAAAGGGTCACGATACGATACGTATTGCAATGCAAGGGTCACAATACGATACGTATTGCGATATGGGGTAATGGGTTAAAAATTAACATTTTATCTTCAAAGTTTCAATATAATACATTAATTGATAACTTTATAACTGTAATATTTGGTAATATAGTTGATAGAAATGGTTATGTGTTATAAAAAGTTTTTAACAATTTTAGTGAAATAACTTACAAAAATCTCCACTTTTGTATGGAATAAAAGGTATTGCCAAGTATCGATACACGACGTCGCGATACGATCGATTCACCGATATATCGTGACTAATATATAGCGAGAAATCAACCGAACTACAGTCGCAGATTTTGAACACTCAGGTCTACAAGATCTATGTTTAGTTCAAAAGAAAATCCAGTTGCTGACAGATTCTACCAATCACAAGATTGATTGAAAACACTTGTATTGGCTTTACCATTGGAAAATAACAAATTCCCGTTTCCCCATTTGTTCATTTTGTACCTTAGTGAGCACTAATTCTCTTGAAAATTTTGTAAGAGTAAAATCATTTTCAATAGTGTTGAATTGTGTTTTCATATTGCGTTTTGTGTCCAACTAACACCGCGACAACAGAGTGCAGGTTCATGATGTTTTGATGGATAGGCCAGTGGTTTGCTTGTATAGATTTTTAACGGATATGACGTATGATATGTAATATTACTTTGAATTCACAATTCATATGTTATTTCAAAAATCGATTGATGTGAAATAAAAATTGTAAAACTTACCACTTTCCTTCGTCAAGTTTTATAATAGTTTCACAAATCAAATACAGATCTAAATCAAACCCTATCATGTTTCACAGTATTTTGTTACCCACAAGTAAAAGGTGCAATTAGTAGTTTTTCACCTCATCTTTAACTTGTTTCATAGTTTGTAGTTTCGCAAATCGGATTCTATCATTGATGTGGCGATTTCCAAATCGAATTTAAACCAAGAACACGCTCTCAGCGTATTAGCCTAATTTCTAGTTTGATATTTCTCCTTATACACGTTGTATTTTTATGCCATAGCATGAAATGCACGTGCATTACGTCACTCGTCACAATCTCAACGTCGAATCGGAATATTATGGAAAGGAGAAAGAGTCATAACTAAGGTCAATGCACATTTTTCTAAGTCAATACAGTGAGGCGAACATTTGGTAAATCAAGTTAGTTCAGTAATACCACTAATATTGGACTAACTTGATTTACCAAATGATCTCATCACTGTATTTGAAACCGGCCATGTTATCATAAATAAGGATATTTAGCGCTTTGATTTGCACAAATAGCATACAATTCCATTCTGTTAACAATAAGCAATATAAGACGTAGTAAAGAGTTTTATAAGGCAAAATGTATATGAGTCGTCGATATTTAGTTAGAAATGCCGCCATTTTGTAAGGGGAGATAACATATATCATTATTTCATTGTGGTTTGGTGGTAGGTTGGTTACTAATTCTCTTGTGGGAGCTGCGTCATTTCTGGTTAACTCTTTCTGGAATTGCAGGCATCGCAGGCATCTGACATAGAACTGGAATGTCCGAAATAGAAGTCAAAGGTGTCCCAAAGACACATAAAAAGGCTAAAAATTCTCTTTACAATCCCTTTAAACGACCCTAACTGAAGTGACTAATTTAAAATATGAGCCGATAAAAAACGGAACATAAGTTTCCTATTCTGTTAATCCGAAGATGGGGTAACTATATCATATAAACTAATAATTGGCAATTACTGTAGCTAGACCTTGACCTAATTATAAAGCATCTTCTTGCGGCCGCATGATTATATATCAATTACTATGTGTGATTATTATGATTACTTTGAATAAAAATAATAAAATTTACAATGTTTTGAATGTCCATTGTTTAAGGGGTCGTGAGGGGTTCAATTGATTATACTCCAGAGGTGTGAAGACTAAAAATCGTTGGGAAGCACTGTCTTAGGTTGACTAAAAAAATAAAATTTTTAAACTTGGCCAAAATGTGCAAATATTGAACTGGAGGCCTTTGAACATTTGAAAATTGTGTTTAAAAATTTTGTGAAAATTCATCTGTAAATAAACAGAAAAAATGCTGAGATTTCATCTTTGTGCAATACACTTTGAGACACTCATTTAGAACCGAATGCAACCCCACAGCATGCCAGGGATACTATTGTGGTGCTGACATCAAGGAATTATAATTATTTGACACATAACCTATAATATAATAATGATTTCGTCACCAATATGCCAATAAGTTATCACCCTATTATGTCATCACTGATATTAATGACACCACCTCGATAACAGAAGTAATGCAGATGTTGGTGATATGACCTGAGCCGATTAGTATGGTGTTTTTTTATGTCAAACTTTATACGTGGTTCCATAACATGTGAAATGTTGAGAGATTTATTAGTATCGAATTGAATTGCACAGTCGATTGGCGTTGTGGACCCTCTTTATTGTAGGGTGGCGCTCGATTGGAGAGTTGTGAACAGGTTCCGTCTGTTCCGATTCTTCCCTCAATCGAACGGTACAGAAGCAGAATATATATAAAATTGTCATCTATTTCTTTCTCCGCCATTTTGAATTCTATTTGCACTTAATATGTTCCAACTTGTTTGAACGTCTGGTTGATTCCATGAATCCCTAACGTGCAGAACTCACCATTCAAGCGACCCCAATGATTATATTGGGACCCTTTAGTACAAGGGAGATAACCTATTAAGATTTCTTAATTCAAACCACACATATTTTCTTATCTCTAGCTGCCTGTTCAACAATTTGGCAGGAGTTCGTTTATCTTAAAAACTGTACATTGGAATTTCTCTCTGACATATGTGGTATTTATGAATATTTGGGCTCTGTCAGCATAAATCATCCACAGAACACAATCTCAGATATTTTTATCTGCTAAAGAGAAATGAACCATTCAGTTCCAGTTTTGTCTGTAATGGGCGCCAGGTGGTATTAAAACTTAGAACTGATAATAACGGTATCAACTTTCTTGGTAAACATTGTTCCAACGATGGGAAGTAACTCTGTAATTACTAATAGAACTTATACCAATTTCAACTCATTTCAGTTGCAATAAGGATCGTTAAATTCAGACATCGCTTGAGAAAATTTCTTAAACATAGTATGAACATTTTTTTACATACCGAATCCATTGTATGTAGAAGAGCAATGCCAAGGTCATGTCACGAGAGTGGCGTAGGATTGTCATAAAGTCATGCTGCTCACACGTGCAAAGAATGTACAATCCGCATCAGGTCATATGGCTTGGGCAAATTTCTAAATATAATTTAGAACTTAGTGTTATTAACAACTATAAAATGAAAAAAAAAATTCTGATTTTGTATGTTAGTAGAAAAATATATTTATTTATTGCAAAATAAAATGCAATTGCAATGCAAAATGTTAAACAAATGCAACGACATCACATGGTATACCATCAAATTTGAGTTCATACGCCGCGACTTGATTAGCCTTGAGTCCGCCATGACTGATGTAGAGTACCATTTCCGGTGATAAGGACAATCCTTGAGGATGCTTCAGTCCATGGGCTTCTGTAACTAAATGCCGTATGAATTTCCCATTGCAATTGAATACTGAAATGCGGTCGTTATAGTGATCGGATACTAAAACGTTTCCAAAGTCATCAGTGGTTGTCGCATACGGAACTTTAAGGCACCCATCGTTTTTCCCGAATTTCCCAATCACTCTGAGTAGCTTTCCTTGTGGATCAAACACTTTTAGACAGTTATTGCCAGAATCACTAACAATTATCTCCCCTTGTTTGGATACCGTGACGTAACGGGGTTGTTTGAATTGTTCGTCTTTGCCAATATGTTGGATGAAGTTACCGTTCTTGTCCACGAGGGAAATTTTATTTGACGACACATCCGTAATGACAAAATTCCCCTTTGCATCTGTAGCAATGCCACAAGGACCTGATAGGATATTCTTTCCAAACGTTCCGACAAGACAGCCGTCTGAGGAAAGTACAGTTACTGCTTGTATCTTTTGAGAAGTAGCTGCTATATGTCCATCAGTGGTCAGCGTTATTCCCCTGGGCTCGATCAGTTCATCCAATACATACGCCACCGTCGGTGAACCCTTCTGATTAAAAACCTGTAACTTGCTGTTGATCATATCAGAAACCAGAATATTGCCGTTCGTTAACGATACAACGTCTGTAGCGTCCTGCAGTTCTCCGTACCCGCTTCCTTTGGTTCCAAATTTCTTGCCAAAACTTATTTTACATCCGTTTGAAAATCGTTCGTCGTAGTCGAAACGCACACTAGTATTTTCCGATATGGGCAGGGATGAATTTTCAATATCACCGTTTTGAGGCTCTTCCAATTCTACAACTTGTTCAAACGTATTCGGTAAATTTTTCACGTTTATGTCATCGATCAGGGCTATTCGGCCACTAAAATTGGATCTGATTTCATGAATTTCGTCAGCAAACGTCACTGACCTCGCCGTCGCCATCTTTCTTCTTCCTTTTGATAACTTTGGTTTGGTAGAAATTTCTGATTCACACCGGTTTTTCATCTGAAATGTAAGAAATTTATAGTTTTAGACTATTGAGAATATCATGTATAACTATTCCGTCATAAACCGGCGTCAGGAATCCCGATGAGTAAATGATTGAATGAATGAATGAATTAATGAATGAATGAATGATATGGAAAAAAATCATTGTGTCAAGGGAAATAATTTCAAACACAGAAACGACAATTTTTTGTCAGTCGCACAAGTCGCTAGGATAAACCTGGATCTGTTATGCTAATCTTTGACTTGTGAAAAAAACCTTTTTACCTTTTTATCACTTCGATCCATCTATTCTATATACATAGAACATCATAAATCAAGATGTACTTATTGTATTATGATGCATCTTTAAAATCTACCACCCCGACGGTCAACGTACATCACATACATCTAATATCATAAATCAAGGTGTACAAATTGTATTATGATACATCTTTAAAATCTACCACATGGGCCCACGTACATCTACAAACATCTAATATCATATATCAAGATGTACAAATTGCATTATGATACATCTTTAAAATCTACCACATCGGTCAACGTACATCACATACATCTAATATCATAAATCAAGAGGTACAATTTGTATTATGATACATCTTTAAAATCTACCACAACGGTCCACGTACATTACACACATCTAATATCATAAATCAAGATGTACAACTTGTATTATGATACATCTTTAATATCTACCATATCGGTCCACCTACACTACAAACACCTAATATCATATATCAAGATGTACAAATTGCATTAAGATACATTTTTAAAATCTATCACATCGGTTAACGTACATCTCATACATCTAATATCATAAATCAAGATATACAAATTGTATTATGATACATCTTTAAAATCTACCACATCGGTTAACGTACATCTCATACATCTAATATCATAAATCAAGATATACAAATTGTATTATGATACATCTTTAAAAATTAACATATCGGTCAACGCACATCACATATATCTAATATCATAAATCAAGATGTACAACTTGTATTATGATACATCTTTAATATCTACCATATCGGTCCACCTACACTACAAACACCTAATATCATATATCAAGATGTACAAATTGCATTAAGATACATTTTTAAAATCTACCACATCGGTTAACGTACATCTCATACATCTAATATCATAAATCAAGATATACAAATTGTATTATGATACATCTTTAGAAATTAACATATCGGTCAACGTACATCACATACATCTAATATCATAAATCAGACTGTACAAATCGTATTATGATACATCTTTTAAAATATTGTCACCTCGGTTTACCCACACTATAAGAAATCAATACAGGTGTACAAATCCTAAATACATCTTTAAAATCTACCACATCTGTCAACCTACTACATACATCTAATAATCTATAATATCATAAATCACGATATACAAGTCGTATTATGATACATCTTTTAAAATTATCAACTCGGTTCAACTACTCTACATAAACATACGGTCCGATTTCATAAGACAAGGCGACAAATCCAATAACAATACATCTTTAAAAAGCAACGACACCGATCCACCTACACTATATACATCATATCATATTACTTGGATGAAGAAACCATATTATCACACATCTTTAAGTATATATTACATAACATAGTTTTACGTCCGGTTTCATAAATCAAGATTATGACACAACTATAAAGATTATTACCTCCGTCCACCTGTAACACTACATCCAATATCATAAATCAAGATGTACAAATCGTATTAAGATACATCCTTAAAACGTTATTACCTCGGCCCATATACACTTAATGCGTCCATCATCATAAATCAAGATGTACAAAAAATCAAGATGTACAATTCGTATTATGATACACTTATAAAATCATTATAAAAATCATCACCTTGGTCCAACTACACTACAAATGTCCAACATCATAAATCAAGATGTACAAATCGTATTATGACACATCTATAAAATTTATCACCTCGGTCCATCTACACAACAAAAAGATACGACCGATTTCCATGCGACAAATCCTGATATGATACATCTTTAAAAATGCTCCAGAAATCATTGACTCATTATCCATTACACAAAACTTGCCATATTTTCCTTGTAACGTGACATCAATATACGTCTATAAATGAAGGTAGGAAACAATGACTAATGCATAATGTAAATAAATAAGTTAAAATTTCTAAATGTCAGCTAATCTATAATGTTAACATATTTTGCCGTTCACAGTTCAATTTTTATTTATTTATTGCATAGTATGTTATTGTTGACTATATGGGTTATGACTATTTATTTGATTAATCTACGGCTGTCTTAATATTCTTCTAAAACGTCATTAAATGTCTTTCAGAATCTTTCAAAAGTATTTAAGTCTAAGTCTAGATTATTGCCACATCAGGGGTAGCTCTGGGACTTTGGATCTCCTAGAGCCCTACCCGAATCCGGATCTGGTCGCCCTGAACAATAGGACAATTGAACCTGTAATAGGACGAACGGACCCGATGCCGCCCTACCCTAGCTATGCTAAATTTTCTCATCGGATTAGTAAAACTTTTCAATGAATTCGAAGAGACAAAATTGAAAAAAATATATTCGTATAACCCTGAACCGTCAGTCCGCATAAAATATATACTTAAGATGGTCCATGTTACATTTTTTAAAGAATAATATCTCCATTTTCTGTAAAAAAAATTCAAAATAACAAAATACCAACGCTTCCCTTGGGATAATATTTCGTTCAGTCGCGAGCTATTGACAATGATAAAAGTATCTGTAACAGTAGGTAAACAGAGCCTGGAATATTCTACAAAATGTTTAGTATCAAAACGCATGACTGGCATTGGCATCTGCCAATCTCTGCCTGCAAAACGTTTAAATTTCTTACCAATTTATAAGCCATTTAGTTCCAAGACGAGACATCTGCAACATGGAGAACTTCCTATAAAATGGTGCATGAACCAACATTGTGATAAATATGGACAAAAGATTGACCCTTACTTGATGTACTGATCCGATCAAATGACAATAGAGTAAGGGTCAAGCTGTAATCCCACGCCATGGACAATGGCCACTAATATTTGTACACCCCGTGAGTGACCATTAGGACTTTAAAAGGTGCAGACCGTTACAAATCTACGGTGAAAAAATTTAAACCGTATTGTCTACGTATTATTTCTAGGTTAAGGCTAAACGACGAAATAAGAAGTTATTTGTGGGTGAAAATTTCATTGAACCGAAACTTTTGGCGCTTATTTACATGTAAAAGCAACACATAACAGAATATTGTCGTATTCGCGTTTGTCAAAGATTGTATAACAAAAATCAAAATATATTTGCCAATTGTAATTGCAAATAAGGAAATGACAATAACGTATTTGCTGTATAGAGATAATGGGATCTAAGCAGTCTAATTACAATTAGATCAACCTTTCGTTTCCATTTTATTTTTAATATAGCCAATATAGTTAGGGTCTAACGACAGCCCTCTTCGTCAAATTAACCTTTTGACCTAAATCGATGACGTCTGTTACACCAATCAAATGTCTACCATCTCCAGCGCTGGTATTTTGTGGTATTTATCAGGTCAGGTCAAGTCAAAAGGTTAATTTGACGAACGTTCAAGAGGGCTTCGTTAGACCCTAATTACTGAAGTGGCTATATTACAAAAAAGCCGCTAAAAACGGAACGGAAGTTTGGTCTAATTTTAATTAGACTGGGATAACAAATGGGTCGAATCTAATAGGCTACCCCCTTTAAATTAGTGACGAATCTCTCATTTTAACGGGGATAATATATTGTTGGTCAGTATTGTAAGTTATTCTAATAGCCAGCGCGTGAAGTTATTTTATAAGTTCGTTAGGATACATACTGGTTCAACGTGATAACAGCTCGACATATTCATATTGGTCATATATTTATATATCACACCCAAATGATATAAATGTTATACCTTTACATTAGTCATCGAGTTTGGCTATAACGAGCGTTCAAAGTGCCCAGCTGGGACAATAAACAGAGATCGCTATGTTCGGCAGTTGGAAATCGAAAAAGAGCAGGCAAATCTCGTGGCAAAATGTAATGTCTTTACCAATCTAAATAAAATTTGATTACAATTTCTTTTCCATATTTTTTAAACCAATCAAAGCTTGTCAAGTAGTTCCCGTTTCTAGATAACAGTGACGAATTATGGGATATCGAAACCTAAAAAGACAGTAATATTGCTGAACTTTGCTATCCCACTATTCATCCTAGTTAAAATATGTGTCCTACGTGACTCGATTGGTTAAAAGAACGGAAAACTGGCCAGATTACAAAAGAGAGGAAAATATCAGAAAAGAAAAGAAACAAATTGTAATCTTGTGATTTCATCAGTCAGTTGAGGCACAGAAAACAATGCCTATTTCTTTTAAAATAAATCAAAAACATTTTTCAAAATATCTCTTTAAAATCACAAGTTAAGTCTCAAGAGGTTTATCTTATTTATGTATTCTTTATAACATAATATTGATCATTACTCACTTATAAATCTCACATAAACATACAAAATATATTTCAGCTTATCAATCTATCGTGAGTAACTTGGTATCAGATT